ATTGTGTTTCCAGTTTCCTCCTATTTATAAACTTACTCACCGACTTAATTCTTTCTAGGATTTTCTTCATTGTCTTCATTCTCCACAGCCTTAATTTAATTCGATTCTTCACCGACTTAATTCAAATGTATTTAGGCCACCACCGACTTTCTGTTTCTCTCTTCTTCTTTTTTTTTTTTCTAAATATTTATTTACTCATTTATTTAATTTTTATTATTAAGAATTATTATTAAATTATTATTTGACACAATATTAACCTTGGATTTTATTTTATAATTTTCTTAAGACAAAATTACTATAAAAATCATGTTTTATTTTTATAATAACTCTACATAATATTCGGTACATATTTATAACTTACAAAATTTATTTATATAATTGATTACAAAATTTAGGATATTACATTAACCGCTATCTAAGTGAGCTTTTAAAAGCGGTTCTGTGTAACCGCTATCTTAAATGTGTTTCGCTTGAGCGATAGTATTCTCGCTCGAGCGAAACGCCCTGCACAAAATTGGCATTCTCGGGTTGTATTTCGCTTGAGCGACTCGATCTCGCTCGAGCGATGGTGCAACCGCTATTAGAAGTGCTCTTTTAAGAGCGGTTCCAGTGAAACCGCTATCATATACAATCAGATTTTTTGGTTCCGATCGATTACATTTTCTATATGATCGATCATATTTGATAATTTTTTTAAATAATGAATTATAATCGATTAGTTTTCTAAATTATTGATTAGTCTTTCAAATAATAGATTAGAATTGCTTAATTTCTGAAATATATACTAAAAAATTATAATTAAAACTATAAATTAGTTAAAAATATTGACTATTGTAAAGATAAAGTAGAACATGGGAGGAGATGAGGATGATAATATATAATCATAGAACTTACAAAAATGTAGAATTGAGAAGTTTGAAACAAATAAAATTAAGAAAATAGAGATTTAATTACACTTTTAATAAATTTAAGATAATACTAGTTTTGATTTTTATTTTTAAATATTTATTTTAATTATTTCAAACAGAGAAACTACAATTTTAGTTTCTAGCTACTTGAATTTAAAGAATTAAACTTATTATTATTTAATCTTTTAATTTTTGAGAATGAATAATATAATTAAACTCAAAATTGACAATATTATAATACATTTTTGAACTCTTTTGGATTAATTTTTTTTCCTAATTTTTTATAAAGTTAATTTTAATATTTAAAAGTATTTAACATTTTGATATAATGAGCATGATAATATAATGATAGAATTTACAAAAATGTAGAATTGAGAATTTTTAAATCTTTTTCTAATATTTATTTTTAAAAATATAATATTATTTTTAAAATTTAATATTATTTTTTTTTCAAATATATAAATATATAAGGATATAAATGTATAAGGATATATATAAATAAATATATAAATATAAGTTTCTTGTAAAACTTTTCACGTTATTTTAACTGATAAAAATAAGTTTTAATCGATTAAAACGCATGTGTAGAAATTGTTTTAATCGATTGAAACAAGATTTAATCGATTAAAGAGTTCTGATCGGTCATAATTGCATTCTGATCGATCATAATTGAAACGATATCATAGCGGTTCAAGGTTAACAGCTATCTAAGTGAGCTTTTAAAAGCGGTTCTGTGTAACCGCTATCTTAAATGTGTTTCGCTTGAGCGACACCAAACTCGCTCGAGCGAAACGCCCCCTGCACAAAATTGACATTCTCGGGTTGTATTTCAGCTTGAGCGACTCGATCTCGCTCGAGCGATGGTGCAACAGACTATTACAAGTAAATATAAACATATAAATATATATAAAAATATGTAAAGATATAAACATATATCTTTAATATTTTGTAAATGTAAATATAATTTATATATATTATTAAATCTTTTTCTAATATTTATTTTTAAAAATATAATATTATTTTTAAAATTTAATATTTTTTTTCAAATATATAAATATATAAAGATATAAATGTATAAGGATATAAATAAATATATCAATATATCAATATATAAATATATCAAAATATAAATATATAAAAATATAAATATATAAATATATTAATATATAAATATATAAATATATCAATATATAAATATATAAATATATAATATATATATATATATATATATATATATATATATATATATCAATATATCAATATTATCCCCTCATATATTAATATACATTATTAGCATAATTTTAATTTAATTAAAAATTAGAATACAAATATACTATACTATACTAATATACCATTATATTATTTTCATTGTATATAAATTACAAAATTAATAATTTGTATATTATACTATACTAATATATTATTTGTATACTATACTAATAGTATAATATACTATATTATAATATTATTTGTATAGAAAACTAATATCTTTATATATAAATATGAAGATATAAATATATAAAAATATAAATATATGTAAAAATATATAAAGATATAAATATATCAATATATAAATATATCAATATTTAAATATATCAATATTTAAATATATATTAAAATATATAAATATATTTTTATTTATAGATTTTATATTTATATATTTGTACGGATATACATTTATTTGTATATAAATATAATTTATTTGTAAGTTATTATCAAAAGATCCTAGTAGCTCGGTGGTTGGAGTTTCGACCTCCAACTCTAAGGTACTGGGTTCGAATCCTGACAATGACAATAAACCACCTAATAATAAGTTAAACTTCGAAAAAATATAATATAATTAAGAGATAGGGAAAATAAATAATAGATATAATAAAAATGTAAATAATTAAATTTGTTATTGATTAACTTTTTCATCGAATCGGTCACCAAAATCGATTGACCAAGGAAATAGTGACCGAATTTTCGGTCACTATTTGATGTTTTTCTTGTAGTGGAATCAATCGATTGGATGAAGTTTTAAATAAAATCAATCGATTGAAACGTCGTTTTAATCGATTGAAAAGAATTCTGATCGATCACAATTTGATTCTAATCGATCATAACTGGTTCTGATCGATCATAAAGCTATTCTGATCGATCATAACTGATTCTGACATGTTATATTATTATTCTGATCGATCATCTGTTACTCTAAATCAGTTTTAATCAGTTTAGACAATCAGGTTCTCTTTTTTATTCTATAAATACAGTTTTGATTTGTCTATTGAAACATACAATTTGTGAAAACATTTGAGAGCAATCTTAGAGCTATCATATCCGTGACTTTCTCTGTGCATTCAAAAACTGTTCATATCATAAGGTGCTTTGATCAAGATTGTTGTTCATCAAAGAGAGAAAGTTCTGAGTTAGAATTGCTTCTGGACTTCTATTGTGTTAAAGCTGTAGTCCAGGTTTATTCTTTTCATTTACTTGTATAAAGTGTGATTGTGTAGATTGGGTGTTGAATCTGCACTGGTTTCAGTATAACTGGATTTGGTTACTGGGTGGTTATTCAAGTGTCTATCTTGTGGGTTTGTGAGATAGTTCTTGGGGTAGATTGGTGTAAATATACTGGTTGTAAATTTCACTGGAATTAGTGAAACTTGGCAGATTTGTCAAGAACTGGATGTAGCTCTGGGAAAGAGTGAATCAGTATAAACTTTTGTGTTGTATTTCTACTTTCATCTCTTTTAATTCTTGTCTATATTCTTGCTTTGATTAAAACTAAATCTACCTAATAAAAGAATTGAATAAAGATAATTCATTCTTCTGAAAGAAAGAGTGTTTTTCGAAAAAGTTTTCAAAAGTTCAATTCACCCCCCTCTTGAACTCAACCATTAATTCTTACAACAATGAATCAACCTTTGGGTGATCCTAAAATGCCTTATAATAATGAACTTCAATTAACCCATAAATCAATTATTCATAATTTTAGCGTTCATACTATAGGTAATTGAAATAAAATCATTAATAATTTGAAATCAAAATAACCTTAAAATTTTGACCACTTTGATGACTAACAAAATTTATCATGCTTAATTTTAAATAAATAATATATTTAATTATTATTAAAAATTTTCATTTAGTAATAACAAAACATAATTTATTCACGTATTCCCATTTTGGCCTCTACAGTAACATTTACATTTCAAATTCATATTGAAATTTAAATCAATTGCAGCGGCCACCATTCATAATCATGTACTAATGCCAGGTAAGACAAATGTCAACTATCACACGAGAAAGAGACTTAATGTGAAAGCTGACAACAAGCCACGAAAATAAAATCAAATTACCATTTCATGAAACTAGACATTCACATAATAATCAATAGGTCATTATATTTTATTAAATCATATTTGAGCTCATCATATTTCACATAAATCACATAATAGAATGAATTAATTAAATTAATTCTAACATTATCGACACATCAAATAGAAAATGTTAGAATTAATTCATAATCAAAATATAAAATGTTAATACTCTAAAACAAATCTAAGGCAAAAAGAATAAAAAAAGTAGTAAACCATTTTTGCTTATATGTTGAGAATCATGAGCAGTCAGTATTTGAAATAGTGATATAAATGAGAGGACATCCTTCTTAAAAGTTAATTTCTTAGAAGTTACTCTCCTAAAGATGTATACGAAAATAGAACTCAATTATGAAAATAAAAGAAGATAAGAGACTTCGTGGAAGCAATGTCTCAAAATGCTACGGATATCAAAATAAAGGTACGTAACACGTGAGTGAGCGCGAAAAACTTCAAAAATAGTTAAATTAAATTAAAAAAAATTGATCCAATTTATTTAACATATCATCTAAATAGATTTAGGATGTAATTTATAAGTCAATTCATTTCATAAAATAATAATCATTTTTAAATAAAAATAAAAAATTGTTTGTCATGATCGAATTATGCTCAAACCCAAATATAAATTATATTATGCATCTATACGTGGTTAATAAACAAGGGGTTTGTTTATGCTTAGTCCATGTAATATCTTTATGTTCATTATGATATTTGCAATGGCGACATGTCAACAAACATCAAACCTAAAATAAAGAGTCTTGATGTGTTGTTGTCGTGAGTGTTTCTTGTCTTTAAGTGGAAGTGAGGTAGCTGTGTAATTGAGTTATAGTGTGTACAGTGTCTTTGTTGCATGAAAGAGAGAGACAGGTGAGGAACTAAATGCTGTTCTTGCTGTCAGATTTCATAATGCTGACAAAAATTTTGACTCTTTTGGAATAAATCTGACTAAACCACAACGAAAACAGCTTTGTTATTTTCTAATTTTTGCATATTTTATATTTTTTTTCTCATGATCTTTTTATCGTCTTGTTTAGAATGACAATATTTTAATTCTTTAAAATTTATCCAAACTAAATTATAAGTCATATTGTTAATATTCAAACAAAATCAAAGATAGAAAAAGTATTTTATTTTTATTATTTCTTACATTTTTACCCTCCTTACTTTTGTTTTAGTCTTCTTTTCATTTTTTTTTAATATTTTCAATTAATTTATTGGATAAAATTGAACGTTGACAACTTGACTGCGGCTATGTGAAAACAGAAGGAGGCAAAATTCGTGATCTCTATTCTAATATTATCTCTACTACAAATAAAGCTTTCAACGTCGGTTGTTGAACCGAACGTTAGTATCGGCTGACGTTAAAAGTCCGTCGATTCTAATAAACCGACGTTGAAAGTATGATTTTTTAAATTAATAATTTTTATTTATTTACAATCCCTTTACCCCTTTTATTTATCTAGGGTCTCCCTCTCTTTATATTATATTTTTTAGAAGTTTATTAATTTTTTAAGAGAATTGTCATTGGCAGGATTCGAACCCAGTACTTTAGAGTTGGAGGCTGATACTCCAACCACTAAACTAGCTACTAGAATTTTCTCGATAATAACTTACAAATAAATTATATTTATATACAAATAAATATATATATCGTGTAAATATATAAATATAAAAATACAAATATATTTATATATTTTGATATATTTATATAGTTATATATTTATATGTTGGATGTGAGGGCACACTCGAAAGTGAAAGTGTGTGTCGAGTGGGTTTTCAAAATTTGATGCTAAATTTGTGAGCGAGTATCTTTATATGAGTTTGTAATTTAATGATAGAATATAATCTTTATAATTTTATTTATATAATGATATAAAATGAATTTGGGAAACGCGTTATTTGCTCTCAAGTGAAAAATACCAATTTTCGCTCAAGCGAGACTTGAGTAAGTGAATTTCAGTGAGCTTTAACATATTTTCACTCAAGCAAGAGTCAATCACACTTTCACCCTCGATCGAAAAATACCAATATAATTTATTTGTAAGTTATTATCAAAAAATTATAGTAGTTTAGTGGTTGAGATATTAACTTTCAACCCTAAAATACTAGGTTCAAATGCTATCGGTGACAATTCATTAACTTAAGAGAATTTTTGGCTAAAAATAAAAATAAAAATACTTTCCAAAAAATATATACAAATAAATATATATTTACATAGATATATATTTATTTGTATATAAATATAATTTATTTGTAAGTTATTATCGGAAGATTCTAGTAGCTTACTCGGTTGGAGTATTAGCCTCTAACTCTAAAGTATTGGGTTCAAATACTACCAATGACAATTTTCAAATTTAAGTGAGTTTTTGGGTGAAAAAAAAAAAGACTTTCAACGTCGGCTTATATGGGGACCGACGTAGAAAGTACTTTCACACGCTCGGTTCTTAGTCAACCGACGTAGAAAGTACTTTCTACGTCGGTCCCCATATAAACCGACGTTAAATGACGACGTAGAAAGTATATTTTGTAGTAGTGTATTTTTCGTAATACAAAAATAATAAAATATAATTATTTATTTTTAAGAATAAGATACAAATATTTTATAAAAATAAAATTGTATTATTAAATATGCATAAATAAAGGTTTATTTTAACTCCTTCGGTCAGATTTAGAGAAAATATGAGGGAGATGACATAGTGATTCACTTAAATTTCCAATAAATTTATAAAATAAAATAAATATATAAAAATATATTTGAACTAAATGAGTCAACCCCACCTTGTAAAAAGAAATTGTAAATAATTTTCATGCATTTTAGAAAAAGTATAATAAACATTGGTGTATTAAATAATCACAAACAATAAACATTACACTATATTAAGAAAAAAATATAAAATCATTAAAACAAAAACTAATGACATTTGACTATTGTTTCTCCGAAGTCTCCAATTTTCTATCTTTCAGAATTGAGTATAAGAAATTTCAATCCAACTTCACCTGAAATTTCTGAGAATTTTCGCTCCCAGATTCTTGAAATCGATTTCAAGGACTCACTATTGTATGGTGGAAGTCGTGGGACATGCATCATTCGACTATTTTATTAATGATATTGTACGATCAAAAGTGGACTTGACTTAAAGGAATTAGCGTTAACATATTTTTATATGATATTTTTAACACGCTTTTTATTATTTATTAAAATTTGTTCAAAATTATAAATCCTAATAAGTTACTGTTGGATAATTAAATGAGACAAACGATCTAAGAAAATATAATGTATATTTACTGCAGAAAAAGTATGATATCATCTTTAATTTAAAATATTAAAATAATATAAATTTTTCTTATTTATATAGTGCTTATTTCTGAATAATATATAAAGAGTCCAATTTACACTTAAATATCAATGATATGAATTAAAAAGTGACATTCACAAATTTTTATAACTTTTACTAAATAACAAACTATATAAAATGTCTTTAAAATAATATATTAAAAGTTGTAATTAATAGTATTTCTCATATTTTATTGTAACAAGAATTAATAAAAATTAGGAACAAATATTAAGTGATGACGGTAATTATGATCTTAACTAATTGAATGTTATTAATTATTTTTGTAAATTATTAAAAAAAATGAAAATATCTATATCAAAGACTTAGTGGTCTTTCCAACCACAAGTAGAAAGTATGTGTTGACTCGTGCTTGTTCAAAGTCTTTCTAATCTCACTACAATAAAAACACGCTCTCAAGAATTCATGGTGCGTCACTTGCAGTAGTAAAGTGTACACAGCACCCATCACACACATCAATTCTCAACTTGTTATCTTCCTCTGTTGAAATTGCTATGGCTTTCAACAGCAGCTTCGTCCAACGCAACACTTCATGTGGAATGATGATCAAGAAATATGATGTTTTTCTGAGCTTCAGAGGTACGGACACACGCAACAATTTCACTGGTCATCTTGTTGGTGCTCTCCAGAGAGAAGGCATCCATACCTTCAAGGATGACACAAAGCTCAAGAAAGGAGAACGTATAGAAGGAAACCTCATGCAAGCGATAGAAGGGTCTCAGATTTTTGTTGTCGTCTTGTCGAAAAACTCTGCTTCCTCAACATGGTGCGTGAGAGAACTTGAAAAGATCCTTGATTGTGTCAGGGTCTCAGGAAAACATATTTTGCCTATTTTCTACGATGTTAATCCATCTGTTGTAAGAAGACAGACGGAGGATTATGAGAAAGCTTTTGCCATTCAAAGAGAACAGAGAGAAGATGGAGGAAGTGAAAAGATGGAGAGGAGCTCTTACACAAGTCAACCTCGCTGGTTGGGATATGAGGAATAAGTAATAATCTTCTCTAATACTAGAAAATCATGAATATTACTCTACTAAGATTGATGAAAGTAATTATATTTCCTTCATATTTTAACACTTAAAAGTTGGTCTGATTTGCCAAAAGCAAAAGTTTTTATCAAAATGAATAAATAATGATGCTTATTCTGTATAAGCAAATCTTTACATATATTTAATAGTTTATTTTAATATTTATAAAAAAATAAATATAAAAATTAAAATTATAAATATATAAATAAATATATTTTATAATCAGTTAAAATTATTTATAAAGATACGAGGCACATGGTCCTCTCTATCCATTCAAAAGAGGTTTTTTCATTATTATGAGTTAAAAAAAAATTGATTTTATTGAAGGGGATCCAAAATTTTAATTTTTTTTTAAAATAGGTTAAATCATATTAGGTGAGTCGACTTTGAGAGTGAAATCGTACTTGGAAGTACATTTTTAACTAAAATCATGTTTTTAAGTACAATTTCGATTTTATTTTATTTTGAAAAAAATGCTTTTCCATGGTGAATTTCATCCGGTGAAAGTTCAAACATGGGTCACGAGAACTAACAACAATGTGAACTTATCACCACCATCATTTCCTCTAGTGCAACAATAACATTAGTTCCTACTTGGTGACCATGCTAATCCAAACAATGTGGTCACAATTATGCTCCACCTACACGAACTAACAGAATCAGTAATACTAATGAAAGAAGAGGTTATCATGCGTTGGTACCACCCGAAACGAGTTTGTACTTCAATGGAGACTCAACACATTCTCTATAGTTTCCTCTCCAACCCTCACATTTCGTTCAACCTCTATATTTTCACAATTGGTCATTATGTCAAGTCCTGTCTCCAGTGTTAACATCATAACTATGAAGAATGCTCCTCACTCAATTTCCTCCCCATGTCCACATCTTGTAGTGGATACCATGATTCCATTTTATGAAAACAGAAACAGTGTATATTTTAAAATTGTGAGAACCTCATGCTACCAAGCACGTTTAAAAAAAAAAAAAACAATAGTACGGTTTGAATCAAAAGTATTTTTCAAGTATATTTGTTGACAAACAAATATCTAAATAAAGCATTCTGTATATTATCACTTGATGTGTTTTTGCAATGAGTGGTACATGTTCAATTTATAGGCCTTTGGATATGACCTCTCAACTACATGCATTTAATATAACTACTACCTTTCAACTACATACATTCAATATAATCACTATCTCTCAACTATATACATTCAATACAACTACTATCTCTATAATCACTACCTCTCAACTACATGCATTTAATGTTTACCTAACAAAATCCCCTCATAAACTTAAATGCTTTTCTTGTCCTTCATTCCAAGCATCTTCTTGCTATTCTAGAACAGAGTGGTTGGCAGTGGCTTCGTGAACATATCTACAACTTGTGTCCCTTCACTACGAGTCGAGCTTTATATCGCTCAACTTCTCCTTCAGCATTTGTTTTCTTCTTGTACACCCACTTTACGCCGATAGGCCGCGTTCCTTTGGGCAAATTAGTCAGCTCCCATGTGTTGTTGCGTTCTATTGCCTCGATCTCCTCGTCCATTGCCTTTTTCCACCTTTTCTCCTGCACAGCCTCTTCAAAACTTAAGTCTTTTGAATCTGCCAAGAGACATACAACATGCACTTCGTCAGTGGAGTTATATATATCTTGTAAACTTTGTGCTCTGGGCTGTAGAGGTTCATCTTCTTCATCATAAGTCTCATCATCTCTCACAGTATGTGGTGTATCAACTTCCGAGCTTCTACTTCCTATGGACTCCTTCTCCGGATTGTTCCAACTCCACTCGCTTTCTTCATCAATTTGAACATCTCGGCTCATTATGACCTTCTTAGTTATTGGGTTAAACAACCTGTATGCCTTGGTTTTTTCATCATACCCAATAAACACGTACTTTTTGCTTCTATCTTCGAGCTTGGTCCTCTGTTGAGCTGGAACATGACCATAAACTATGCTACCGAACACTTTAAGGTGAGACACACTCTGTTTTCTTCCACTCCAGACTTCTTGTGGTGTCTTCTCGTTCATCTTAGCATGTGGACATCTATTTTCCACATAGACGGCACATTGCACTGCTTCTGCCCAGAACTCCTTTGGCATGTTTTTGTTTCTCAACATTGTTCAAACCATGTCAAGAATGGTTTGATTCTTCCTCTTAGCAACTCCGTTTTGTTGGGGTGAGTATGGTGCTGTCAGAAATCTCCTTATCGTTTGCTCCTCGCAATACTTCATTAGTTCGGATGAAATGAACTCGCCTCCTCGATCAGACCTAACAGATTTGATAGGCATGTCAATCTCTTTCTCAACCATTGCTTTAAATCTCTTAAACACCTCAAACACCTCGGATTTCTCCTTCAAAAAATATACCCAGGTTTTTCTTGAAAAATCATCTATAAAAGAAATGAAATACCTTTTTCTCATTGAAGGACTCAAGGGTAACCGGTCCACAAAGATCTGTGTGAATCAATCCGAGTTGTTCCTTTGCACGGTACTCGCTCGTCCTCGGAAATGAGGTCCTCAGATGCTTCCCGAGCACACACTCTTCACAAAATTTCTTTTTAAATTTTATAGATGGGAGTCCTCGCACCATCTCTTTCTTTACCAACTCGGTCAGCCCACAAAAATGTAAGTGGTCAAACCGAAAGTGTCACATCATTGCTTCATCCTTCACGTCAAGTTTCAAGCACCTCTCTTGGACTATCTTCAAGTTCAGCTTGTACATTCTGTTCTTCTTCATTTCTACTCAGGAAATCAAACGATCTGACTTGTCTTTCAGGTATAGGACTCGGTCTTTCATCAGAACCGAGTAGCCTTTCTCCATCAGCTGGCTCATGCTCAATATGTTGCTTTTGAGATCGGGTACATAGTACACGTCTTTGATTTCTCCAACTCGGCTATTCTTCTGCAGGTACCAGATTGTACCTCTGTATTTTACTGCTACCTTTTATGCATCTCCAAATGACACGTGTCCGGCCTCAACTTCAGTGAGCTCCTTAAAAAGGTTCTCGTCCCCGCACATGTGGTTACTTGCTCCTGTATCAAGATACCAAACCGAGTTGTCAAAACAGCTCGGACTTAGCTCGACATCTGAACTTCTTGACATCATCAATACTCCTTCTTCCTCAGCGTCCTCAGAGAGGAGATTTGTTTCCTTCTTGCTCTCAAATCGGTAGTCCTTCGCGAAATGTTCAACCTTCCCATAATTATAACATTTGATATCTGAATAGCAGTCCTTAGCAAAATGACCGTACTTCCCACATTTGAAGCACTCAACTCCGAAATTGCTTGATTGACCACCTCGGTCTCTACCGTCACGACCTCTACTTTGTCCTCGGCCACGCCAGTTTTGTTGACTGACTTGCTCCTTACCTCTTTCATATCCTCCTCTGCCTCTACCACCTCGGCCTTGAGTGTTCTAAGCATAAGGAACCTTCTTCTCCTTTAAGGTTACCTTAGCTTGGAGTGCTTGATCAAGGGACTCCTCTTTCTTCTTCCTTCTCCGCTGCTCATGTGCTTCAAGCGACCCGGCAAGCTCTTCCACCAAGAGCACTGACAAGTCCTTAGACTCTTCTATTGCACAAATGATATTCTCAAAGTCGTCAGGTAACGACCTTAAGATTTTCTCCACCACTCGGCAAGTGGGCAGCGTCTCTCCATTTCTTCCGAGTTGATTCACCACGGTCTCAACACGGGAGATGTACTCGGCAAACCCTTTGACCTCTTTCATCCTCATGCTTTCAAGCTCGCCTCTAAGAGTTTGAAGCCTGACTTGCTTCACGCGATTATCCCCTTTATATGCCTTCTCCAGAATATCCCATGCTTCTTTTGAAGATTTAGCATTTTTTATCTTCTCAAAGCCGTACTCATCAACAACTAGGTACAGTACGTACAAAGCTGTTTTGTCCTTTACTCGTGTTGCTCTCAATGCAGCAAGCTGGGCAATCGTCTGCTCTTAAATATTCTCTGGTTCTTGGTGCCCATTTTCGACCACATCTCATACTTTCTAGGAACTAAGGAGAGTCTTCATTTGTAGACTTCAGTTATCATAGCTTACGCCTTTTGATAACTTTGGCAGGGACATGCTGTTAGCTAAGTTGGTCATCTCGAACAAACTCTCTAACTCTCAAACACTCTCTCTAACGCACTCAGGCTCTCAAACTCTGATGCCAATTTGTTGACAAACAAGTATCTAAATAAAGCACTTTGTATATTATCACTTGATGTGTTTTTGCAATGAGTGGTACATGGTCAATTTATAGGCCTTTGGATATGGTCTCTCAACTACATGCATTTAATACAACTACTACCTTTCAACTACATACATTCAATATAATCACTATCTCTCAACTACATACATCCAATACAACTACTACCTCTCAACTACTACCTCTATAACCACTACCTCTCAATTACATATATTTAATGTTTACCTAACAATAATTTCATCATTCAAATATAGTCTCACCCGATTTAACCCATTTTAGAAATATTTTAAATTTTCATCCCTTTTCATAAGATCGAAATTTTTTTACCGACAATGGTGAAAAAGCCTCCAAAAGAAGTATATATAATTACATCATACATGTGTACTTTTTTTTTTCTCATAAATAGGTGATAACTGGTGTTTTTGGTATTCTTTAAACTTTCAGGTCACAATACGCTGAGATTAGAAAAATTGTTTGGGAGATATTAAACATATTGAGTCTCAAATTTTCAAGTCTTCAAAATAATCTAGTTGGGATGGAATCTCCTGTTGAAGAATTAGAAAAACTTTTACTTTGGGACCCAGTTGATGATGTACGCATTGTAGGAATTTGTGGCATGGGTGGAATCGGAAAGACTACTCTCGCTACGGTTTTATTCGATAGAGTCTCTCATCAATATGATGCCAAGTGTTTTATTGATGATGTAAGTAAAGCTTATAGGGATTGTGGTACAATTGGTGTACTAAAGCAGCTGCTTCAACAAACTCTAAATGAAGAAAACCTTCAGATATGCAATCTTTATAACGCAGCCAATTTGATGCAAAGAAGGCTACGTTATGTAAAGACACTTATAGTTCTTTATAATGTTGATGATGTTGAACAACGAGAGAAATTAGTTGTGAATCGTGAATGGTTAGGTGCAGGAAGTAGAGCCATCATAGTTTCCAGAGACAAGCACGTGTTAAAAGAGTTTGGAGTGACTACAGTGTACAATGTTCCACTCTTTAATGGTCCTGATTCTCTTAAATTGTTCTGTAAAAAGGCTTTCAATAGTGATGAGATTGTAGGAGATTACAAAGACTTGACACATGATGTGTTAGAACATGCTAAGAACCTACCACTGGCAATTAAAGTACTAGGTTCATTTTTGTGTGGAAGAAGTGTGTCAGAGTGGAGAAGTGCCTTGGTTAGATTGAAAGAAATTCCTAACAAAGATATTTTAGATGTGCTTCAAATTAGTTATGATCGACTAGAAGATTCTGAAAAACAAATATTTTTGGACATTGCTTGTTTCTTCAGCGGGTATGAGGAGTTGTATGTGAAGAAAGTTCTTGATTGTCGAGGATTGCACTCTGAAATTGGAATAAGAGTCCTCCTTGATAAGTCACTCATAGACAACTCACATGGATGCATTGAAATGCATGGTTTGTTGAAGGATTTAGGCAGGAAAATTGTTAAAGGCAATTCTCCCAAAGAGCCAGGAAAGTGGAGTAGGTTGTGGGTACATGAAGATTTCTACAATACGTCCAAGGCAACAGTAAGTATTTTTTTGATAATCTAATATTTTAAGGATTTTTTTTTAAGTTTATGTTAATTTTTTTACTAGTTATTTTGATAATATACCTTTTCTCACTATTTTGTCATGAAAATGAGAAATAAATTAAAATAAAGATACTTAATCATCTTATGAAAAGTTTTGCAATGCTTTTAGGAAACAACAAACACTGAAGGAATTGTTTTAGAGATGTCAATAGAGATGAAAGTATTGATGACTGATGCTGAAGTGTTGTCCAAAATGAGTAACCTTAGGTTGCTCATACTCCATGGTGTGAACTTTATGGGAAGCCTTAATTGCCTCTCCGATAAATTACAATATCTTGAGTGGTTTCACTACCCTTTCTCCTATTTACCATCAAGTTTTCAGCCCAACTCACTGATTGAATTGATCTTGAGACGTAGCAACATCAAACAACTATGGAAAGGCACAAAGGTATTCTACATTCTCTTATTAATTTACTTTTAAAATATGAATTAAAAAGAATACTATTATCTTAGCTTATTCCCATACTAAAAGGAGTTATGATTAAGTAACTATCTCTGATGGTGTTTTACAGTATCTGCCAAATTTAAGAGTTTTGGATCTCAGTGATTCCAAGAATATTACTAAGGTTCCAAACTTTAGAGGGGTTCCAAATCTTGAGCGGATAATTCTTGACGGTTGCACAAAACTTGCGTGGATCAATCCATCAGTTGGTCTTCTAAAAAGGCTTGCTTTCTTAAGTTTGAAAAACTGCATTAATCTAGTAAGTCTACCCAGCAATATATTGGGCTTGAATTCTCTTGAATATCTGAACATCTCTGGCTGTCCAAAAGTATTTAGTAACCAGATGTTAGATAAACCAATTCGTGAGGAGCATTCTAAGATTCTTGGTATCAGGGAAACTGGCATGCAATCCCAATCAACATCCTCTTCTATCATCAAGAAATTTATATCTTTCAATTTCTGCTGCACTAAAGGGTATAAAAGTTCAGGTGGTTGTTTGTTGCCTTCCTTGCCTACCTTCTTTAGTATGCAAGACCTTGATTTAAGTTTCTGCAATCTAAGTCAAATCCCTGATGCTATTGGATCCATGCATTCTTTAGAAACCTTAAATTTAGGGGGGAACAACTTTGTTAGCCTCCCTTCGAGCATCAGCAAACTGTCAAAACTCATATATTTAAACTTGGAGCATTGCAAGCAATTGAGATTTTTTCCTGAGATGCCATCACCTACTGCTTTGCCTGCTATAAGAGGAACGTACACTGTTGCTCCTTATGGAAGGGGATTGTATATCTTCAATTGTCCAAAAATAGTTGATATTGAAGGTTGTCATGGAATGACTTTTGCATGGTTGTTACAAATCCTTCAGGTACTCCTTGATCTGTTCTTCCTTGCATCACTATTATTCTCCTTTTCCATTTGTGTAATAACTACAGGAACTAAAGGTATATCTACATGCTTCCTGTACCAGGTGAGCCAAAAATCAGGTACCCCAATTGGTTGGATTGATATTGTTCTTCCTGGTAATCAAATACCAAGATGGTTCAGCAATCAAAGTCTTGGTACTTCAATAAGCTTAGACCCATCCCCCATTATGCATGACAATAACTGGGTTGGCTTTGCTTGCAGCGTGGTATTTGTGTCATTTGATCATCTTACTAATTTGCATCCCCATTGGAAATCATTTATAGAGATTAGTTTTCAAACAAAATCCTATTTTTCCGCTCTCGATATTCCAATACTTCTTGACAGCGATTTAGTTACAGCTGGATTGCATCACTTATGGCTACTCTACTTGACTAAGGAAGAATTTATTTCTTATTTTAAAATAGATGATCTTAACGACATCAGAATGCATACATCTAAAGATTTGCACACGGAGGTGTGCAGTTGCGGATATCAATGGGTGTTTAAGAAGGATTTGGACAACCTAAACCCCTCAATAATGCATAAAGTGTTGACAAACAAGTATCTAAATAAAGCACTATGTATATTATCACTTGATGTATTTACAATGAGTGATACATGTTTAATTTATAGGCTTTTGGATATGGCCTCTCAACTACATGCATTTAATACAACTACTACCTTTCAACTACATATATTCAATACAACCACTATCTCTCAACTACATACATTCAATATAACTACTACCTCTCAACTACTACCTCTATAACCAATACCTTTCAACCACATGCATTTAAGGTTTACCTAACAAAATCTCCCCATAAACTTAAATGTTTTTCTTGTCCTTCATTTCAAGCATCTTCTTGCTGTTCTCGAACATAGTGGTTGACAGTGGCTTCGTGAACATATCTGCAGCTTGTGCTCGGGTTCCGACGTGCTCTAACTCCACATTTCCTTCTTTCACTTGTTATCGGATGAAGTGAAACTGAACATCAATATGCTTGCTTCTCTCATGATTGACCGGGTTCTTTGCCAATTCAATGGCCGACTTGTTATCAACTCGAATCACTGTCCCTTTTTCTTGCTTCAACTCCAGCTTGCTTAGAAGGTTTCTAAGCCAAACTGCATGACAGACACTCCAGGATGCTGCAACGTACTCGGCTTCACAAGTTGACAACGTTACAATGGGTTGCTTTTTTGAAAGTCAGGTGAATGTTGTGTTTCCCATGAAAAATACATATCCAGACGTGTTTTTTCGGTCATCAACATCTCCACACCAGTCACTATCCCAGTAGCCTACTAGTCGATAATCATCTGTCCTAGTATACATTAGGCCAAGTGACATTGTTCCTCTCACATACCTTAGAATACTCTTTAGTGTCTTCCAATGCATATACCTTGGCTCCTCCCTATATCGACTTGCTATTCCAACACTTAGCATTAAATATGGTCTGGTATTTGTAAGATACCTAAGACTTTCAATCAGACTTCGGTATTTGCTTGCATCAACTCGGTCTCCATCTGCATACTTAGAAAGTTTTGTACCAGGTTCCATAGGGGTGGAAACCGGGTTGCAGCTTGTCATCTTAAACTTCTTCAAGACCTCCTCAGCATACCTTTCCTGCGACACAAAGATGTCATCCTTTCCCTGAACAACTTCTAAGCCAAGAAAATACTTCATAAGACCCAAGTCAGTCATCTCAAACTCCTTCTTCATCACTTCTTTAAACTCTTCAATTAGCTCGGCATTATTCCCAATGAAGATAAGGTCATCAACATATAGGGCAACAAACATCACATTTTCTCCTTTCTTCTTTATGTATAGAGCATCTTCATAAGGACACTGCTCATATCCATTCCTTTTGAAGTAAGTGTCAATTCTTTCATTTCATGCTCATGGAGCTTGTTTCAAGCCATAAAGTGTCTTCTTCAATCTCAGCACTTTCTTCTCTTCTCCTCTTCGCATGTATCCAAGTGGTTGTTCAACATATACTTCCTCCTCCAAGATTCCATTCAAAAATGTCGACTTCACATACATCTGCAAGATTGTCCATCTGTGTTGAGCTGCTAAGGAAATCAGCAACCTAATTGTTTCCATTCTCGTCACTGGGGTGAATACTTCGTCATAGTCTATTCCTTCTTTCTGCTTGTACCCCTTCACTACGAGTCGAGCTTTATATCGCTCAACTTCTCCTTCAGCATTTATCTTCTTCTTGTACACCCACTTTACGCCGATAGGTCGTGCTCCTTTGGGCAAATCAGTCAGCTCCCATGTGTTGTTGCGTTCTATTGCTCCGATCTCCTCGTTCATTGCCTTTCTCCACCTTTTCTCCTGCACGGCCTCTTCAAAACTTAAGTCTTCTGAATCTGCTAAGAGATATACAACATGCACTTCGTCAGTGGAGTTGTATATATCTTGTAAACTTCGCGCTCTGGGCTGTAGAGGTTCATCTTCTTCATCAGAAGTCTCATGATCTCTCACAGTATGTGGTGTATCAACTTCCGAGCTTCTACTTCCGATGGACTCCTTCTCCGGGTTGTTCCAACTCCACTTGCTTTCTTCATCAATTTGAACATCTCGGCTCATGATGACCTTCTTAGTTATTGGGTTAAACAATCTGTACGCCTTGGTTTTTTCATCATACCCAATAAGCACATACTTTTTGCTTCTATCTTCGAGTTTGGTCCTCTGTTGAGCTGGAACATGACCATAAGCTATGCTACCGAACACTTTAAGGTGAGACACACATGTTTTCTTCCACTCCAGACTTCTTGCGGTGTCTTCTCGTTCAGCTTAGCATGTGGACATCTATTTTGCACATAGATGGCATATTGCACTGCTTCTGCCCAGAACTCCTTTGACACATTTTTGCTTCTCAATATTGTTCGAACCATGTCAAGAATGGTTCGATTCTTCCTCTCGGCAACTCCGTTTTGTTGGGGTGAGTATGGTGCTGTCAGAAATCTCCTTATCCCTTGCTCCTCGCAATACTTCATTAGTTCGGATGAAATGAACTCGCCTCCTCGATCAGACCTAATAGATTTGATAGGCATGTCAGTCTCTTTCTCAACCATTGCTTTAAATCTCTTGAACACCTCAAACACCTCGGATTTCTCCTTCAAAAAATATACCCAAGTTTTTCTTGAAAAATCATCTATAAAAGAAATGAAATACCTTTTCCCACTGAAGGACTCAGGGGTAACCGATCCACAAAAATCTGTGTGAATCAATCTGAGTTGTTCCTTTGCATGGTACTCGGCCGTCCTCGGAAATGAGGTCCTCGAATGCTTTCCGATCACACACTCTTCACAAAATTTCTTTTCAAATTTCATAGACGGGAGTCATCGCACCATCTCTTTCTTTACCAACTCGGTCAGCCCGCCAAGATGCAAGTGGTCAAACCGAAAGTGCCACATCATTGCTTCATCCTTCATGTCAAGTTTCAAGCACCTCTCTTGGATTATCTTCAAGTCCAACTTGTACATTCTGTTCTTCTTCATTTCAACTCGGGCAATCAAACGATCCGACTTGTCCTTCAGGTATAGTACTCGGTCTTTCATCAGAACCGAGTAACCTTTCTCCATCAGCTGGCCCATGCTCAATATGTTGTTTTTAAGATCGGGTACATAGTACACGTCTCTGATTTCTCCAACTCGGCTATTCTTCTGCAGGTATCAGATTGTACTTCTGCCTTTTACTGCCACCTTTGATGCATCTCCAAATGACACGTGTCCAGCCTCAACTTTAGTGAGCTCCTTAAAAAGGTTCTTGTCCCCGCACATGTGGTTACTTGCTCCTGTATCAAGATACCAAACCGAGTTGTCAGAACAGCTCGGACTTAGCTCGACATCCGAACTTCTCGACATCATCAATACTCCTTCTTCCTCAGTGTCCTCAGAAAGGAGATTTGTTTCCTTCTCTCAAATCGACATTCCTTCGCGAAATGTCCAACCTTCCCACAATTATAACATTTGATACCTGAATAGCAGTCCTTAGCAAAATGACCGTACTTCCCACATTTGAAGCACTCAACTCTGGAATTGCTTGACTGACCACCTCGGCCTCTACCGTCACGACCTCTACCTTGTCCTCGGTCACACCAGTTTTGTTGACTGACTTGTTCCTTACCTCTTTCATATCCTCCTCTGCCTCTCCCACCTCGACCTTGAGTGTTCTGAGCATAAGGAACCTTCTTCTCCTTTAAGGTTGCATTTGCTTGGAGTGCTTGATCAAGGAACTCTTCTTTCTTCTTCCTTCTCCGCTGCTCATGCACTTCAAGCGACCCGGCAAGCTCTTCCACCGAGAGCAGTGACAAGTCCTTAGACTCTTCTATTGCACAAACGATATTCTCAAAGTCGTCAGTTAACGACCTTAAGATTTTCTCCAACACTCGGCAAGTAGGCAGCGTCTCTCCATTTCTTCCGAGTTGATTCACTACGGTCTCAACACAGGAGATGTACTCGGCAACCCCTTCGACCTCTTTCATCCTCATGCTTTCAAACTCGCCTCTAAGAGTTTGAAGTCTGACTTGCTTCACGCAATTATCCCCTTTATATGTCTTCTTTAAAATATCACACGCTTCTTTTGAAGATTTAGCATTTGCTATCTTCTCAAAGCCGGACTCATCAACAGCTCGGTACAGTACGTACAAAGCCGTTTTGTCCTTTACTCGTGTTGCTCTTAATGCAGCAAGCTGAGCAATCATCTGCTCTTCAATATTCTCTGGTTCTTGGTGCCTATTTTCGACCACATCCCATACTTCTTGGGAACCAAGGAGAGCCTTCATTTGCAGACTCCAGCTATCATAGCTTACGCCTTTTGATAACTTTGGCAGGGGCATGCTGTTAGCTAAGTTGGTCATCTCGAACAAACTCTCTAACTCTCAAACACTCTCTCTAACGCACTCAAACACTCAGGCTCTCAAGCTCTGATGTCAATTTGTTGACAAACAAGTATCTAAATAAAGCACTCTGCATATTATCACTTGATGTATTTGCAATGAGTGATACATGTTCAATTTATAGGCCTTTGGATATGGTCTCTCAACTACATGCATTTAATACAACTACTACCTTTCAACTACATATATTCAATATAACCACTATCTCTCAACTACATACATTCAATATAACTACTACCTCTATAACCACTATCTTTCAACCACGTGCATTTAAGGTTTACCTAACATAAAGGACACATCAACACTCGTGTTGACGATGATTTTGTGAGAGGCAGTTCAATCCTTTCTTTAGAAGCTGCTGGATCCTAGTCAGATTTGTTTCCATTTATTTATATATATGCGTGTGTGGTATGGTTAGAAGGATTAAGAGGTTGACTGATTCATGTGATTGAGAGAGGAGGAGAGGTGGACGTTGACTGAATACGTTCGATTAGTTATGTTTGTGTTAAGCTTTATGTTGTGTGACCCCTAATCAAAGCCAACAAATTTGTATATGTTGTTTCTATCTTCTGCATAGTAGAATAGATGAGATATTTAGGGTTGTTAATGAGAAAAGTTACATGTATATAATATTTAATTATTATCATTTTTATATTAAAATATTTTTTTATCATATTTATATTATTTAATATAATAATTTTCATTATAGTTTAAGATTTATTATAAAAAGTAAAAATCTTATAACTATAATTTAAATCATTATTAATTATAAAATTAATGTTATCAAGATATTAATAGATTTGATAAATTAATAGATATATATATATATATATAATGATATTTATTATATAAATATTAATAACAATTTATTAATTTCAAAATATAATATAGAATAATATATATTTAATGTAATTATTAAATGAATTTAAATGATTTTTTTAATAATTAATATTATTTCAATATGTTAATAAAAAATATATTTTCTTTAATATGAGTTTATATGATTTATTTTATATATTTTCATTTTACTACTTAATTTGTTAATTGAATTTATATGATATAATTGAATAATTATAAAATTAAATATTATTCAATGAGATATTTATCAACTCTATAATAAATTGAAGTTTGTCATGATAAATTAAATAAAAGAATATATATATATATATATATATATATATATATATATTCAGAGTAATTCATAATAAATTAATTTATTAAAATTTGATTATTAGATATATTTTTTAGAGTTAATTTAAAGTTTACACGATAAAAAAATATTTATTTTTATTTTAGTTCTTCAAAGTTAAATACGTATTGCTTTACCCTATGACGTTAAAAAATATATTTGGGTGTCTTAATTAATAATTATCAGATTAATATAAAACTTGTGAAGTCAAATGTATTTTTATCAATATTTGAATTTTTTTAATGAAATAGCTATTAAATAAATTCTTACATTTTTAAAAGATAAAAAAATTAAAATTTATTTTTAAAATATAAACAAACAAACTCTTAAAATTCGTAAATATTTGGTGAGCAAATTTATTTTTTATAATAAGTGAATGAAATATAAAAAGATAGTATGAAGTGTACAGTAGAATCGATAACTAATAGGCCACTTAATTAGAGTTGAAAATGGATACCAAGAACTTTTGGTCTCGCATTAAAAATAATAAAAATAAAAATAAAAGTATTCACAATATATAAATTTAAATATGCTTTTAGTAGCCGTGAAATAAGTGTATTTCAATTTTAATTTTGTAACAAAAAACATTTTTATAAAAATTTATTATTTTATTATCTAGTATTATAATTACACTCATAATTAAAAATTAAATGATTATTTTAAATGGTGCTTACAATGGTGGTATAATATAAATGTATGTATCTTTAAAAATAATTTTATGTGTGTATATGTTATTTATCAATTCTAAATAGATGGTAGGATTAGAATTAGTAATTTTGTCTTTTGGAATGAAAAAAAATATTATATAGAAATTAAAATTAAAATTTATATATTATATAAGAATTAAGAATTATAATTTCAAATTTCATTGGAATTATGAAAAGATGGAAAAATTAATCATACTTATTTTATATTTTAAAAATATATGTTTTGTAGATAAATAAACTTGTTAATTGATTTAGGTGTGAGAATTTAAGTGTAAGATGAAGTTTCACGTTAAAAAAATTGAAAAAATTGAGTAATTTATAAATGAAAAAAACTCATAATTATTTTAATTGGCTCATATCTTAATTTACTTCTATCCTATGAGAATCTTCCTATGATTAGTAGTGAAAATACCTACTAAAAATGTTATATGATGTGATACTAGGATAAATTTTTTATTTAAGTTTGCTTACACATATTTTAATAGTTGCCTTATATCATGTTATAATAATAGACTGATCATAATCATATCAAGAATTCAAGATCAAAATTTTGACTTAGTTGAAAACATAAATTATTCATAAAATAGTAATATCAATGAAATAAAAAATGTATATATCTAGAAGGTGATATTGAAAAAGATACTAAACAAATTCTTTAAATAGAAGCATGTGCATTGAATGATGACTTTATAGAAAAATAATTCAGGCATTAATAAATGCCTATATCTAATGGTTGAGAATGTGACCCGGATTTAGTTGCATGGCACCCAAATGATCCAATTGTGCAAATAACTCGTTGCAAAAGTTGTGATATACGCAACTTTGGAAGTTAATGGCACTGGACCCACTTCTTGCCCCACAAACCAAAATGTTAACAAAATGAAAATAACCCAATAAAAGAACAAACTTTATGATCAATAATGGTTATTCTCTGTTTCTATGCGTATATATATTTATGCATGTTCTCAGACACAATTCACTAAACCCTCTCTATCATATGGTTCTTGCATAAATTGCTAAGCCATTCGTAGGTTGTGATCAACGTCATCAGTGATCACTGAGAGATATGAGAAGGGAGTGCCATCCACTGTTAAGGGGAGGGAGAGGGGGTAGCAAGTATAGACATGGATTTTCTGCAGCTGAGATGGAGTCACTGGCCAGCTTATGTGAGGTTGTGTTGCCTCCTTTTCCTATGGATGCTTTGAAGAGCAAAAAAGAAGACCAAGCTGGTGATGATGATGGCAAGAATCTGCAGTCCTTCTGTGACATTTCTGGTTCTCGCTATCCAATCCCTCATGAGGTATATATATATATATATATATACACACACATATGCAAGATAAAATATGCTTTTGTTGTCTTAATTTTCTGTCAAATTTGATGTTTTTGATGGTTATGTTTTTTTTATAATTTCTGAACTTGGTCTGTTACTAAAGATCTTGAGATATCATATCAGGACTAAACTCAATTTGACCGAAATTAGATCTTTGTTTAATTAAAACTCATGATTTTCGTTGCTGTGTTCTGGTAATTGATGAATTTGACCATTTTCAAAGATAGCATTGGAGAACTAAAATTAAAAATTAAAAAGCCTACAACACAATTTATCTTATAGTATTAGTAGTATACTAGAATTCAATTAACAGTTTCTTCATCACATCTTCTCTGTCATTTTTTACTCTCTCATTTGCAAGAAATTCCTGTGTGCAAGAAACAGCGCATAAGTGGGGCCCACATAGCTACCATATATACATTTCACAGGTCTTGCAGTTGTTCATGCTGTTAATGTGTTTACCAACATGACCATATAACAAGGGAAATAAATTGAAGTAGCAGGATTGATACATGTAACTGAATATACAAATATTAAATGCGTTGGCTCTATCATTTGACCTTATACATGAAAGAAGTAAGTCATAATAACTGGGATTGTCCAATGCAGTCTGGCAGCTACTAATTGTTGGCTCTGTTTGTCCTGTCATGTACTTGAAAGTGCACTGTTTTCCAACCATTTTAGTTGTTTCATGTCGCATTCATAAATTTGTGCAATATAGAAGGAAAAAAGTTAAGATGAGTTGGTGCACAGGTTACCATGCACTTATTTATGATTGGAAATGATCCAGTTTACAATCTGTATTCGATTTCCCTTTTTTTTTTTTTTTAATTCTTTAAACTGAACTTGTACAGTAGTTTTTTTATAACAAAAATAAGAGTGCTAAATCATATAAAAAATATAGAAAATACAAAATTAAGTGAAGAACTACATCAAACCCACAATTAATCCTTGATTCTTTAGTTGAGTAATCTTTTGTCTACCTTTTTGGTATCTCTCATGTATCATGTTTTATTTTCAATGGTAACAGGTTGCTGAGTTGTTTACAAAGAGGAGCTTAATAGAAGCAGTAATACTGGTAAGAGTGATTTTATGGCTGCTAGCTACAAGGTTAGGCACCTTGTTGATATGTGGTTTCCTCTGTCTTGGTGAGAAATGGCCCTATATCAACAACTTCTCAAACATATCTTTGGAGAAAAGGGAAAAGATTATGCAGAAGTGGCTGAAGCATAGGTTCCTCACACCTATTAGACTGGCATTTGCTTATATCAAAGTCTTGTGCCTCTTTGTTTTTTACTCTTGGGTATTATTCAGCCTTTTTCCAATGCCCTCTTATTAATTGTTACTTATATCTGCACATAATGAATTCGTAACACTATATAACATGCTAAAATTTCTCTAAAAAGTACTTTTAATCCTCATTTTCTTTTTTTAATTTGGTCTCCTAAATTTACTAAGTTTTGTTTCAGACTTGTTAGAGTGTTGTTTGAAACTAAATTAGTTCTTCCGTCAATTTTTATTTTCATTGAGAGTAATTAAAATGGAATATTTCCCTGTTTCACAGTTTTACATGTACGGTATTGATCAAATTAGTTTAGAAACTAATAGAAGATGAATAAAACACTTAGTGGACTGAAGTTAAACATTTTAAGCTTGAGATCAAACTATGAAAAAACAGAAACAAGATGATGGGGAAAATATATATTGTTGCCTAAAAGTTCTTTAAAAAAGATAGTAGAAAATTTCTTGAAATTTTTGCAGGTTGATGAAAATGGTGATAACCCAGCATGGAAAGCCATTGGATATGAGGTATCAGATGATGAGAAATTGAGCAATGCCTCCACCACTAGGCCCCTTGAAAAGGGGACTATAGAAACCATACATGAATCTGACTCAACTCTCCAACAATCTCTTGCCAAGAAAGGCCTCAATGTTACACTGGACACCAAAAGCAATATCCTCAAAGTCAAATGTGATGCAGTAGTTGTTGGGTCTGGTTGTGGTGGAGGTGTTGCAGCTGCTGTTCTTTCAAGTGCTGGTCACAAGGTGGTTGTTCTTGAGAAAGGAAACTATTTTGTCCCTCGGGATTATTCATCTCTAGAAGGTCCTTCCATGAATCAACTATATGAAACTGGAGGGATCCTTGCTTCTGCGGACTCCAGAATACTGGTTTTGGCAGGATCAACAGTGGGGGGCGGCTCTGCTGTTAATTGGTCAGCGTGCATTAAAACACCACACAAGGTGCTGAAAGAGTGGTCTGAGGACAACAAGCTTGCCTTCTTTTCAAGCCAAGAATATCTCTCTGCAATGGAAACTGTATGTGAAAGGATTGGAGTCACAGAAGACTGTACACAAGAGGGATTCCAAAATCAAGTGCTAAGAAAAGGGTGTCAAAATCTTGGCCTCAAAGTTGACTATGTGCCAAGAAACTCTTCAGGGAATCATTACTGTGGCTCATGTGGTTATGGCTGTCCAAAAGGAGAGAAACAAGGGACTCAAGCTACTTGGCTTGTAGATGCAGTCGACAAAGGTGCGGTAATAATAACAGGATGCAAAGCTGAGAGGTTCTTGTTGGAAAGCAACAGGAGTGGAAATGGTAGAAAGAAGAAGTGCTTGGGAGTTCTGGCAAGATTATTAAACAGCAGGATCACAATGAAGCTCCAATTTGAGGCTAAAGTGACAATTTCTTCCGGTGGGGCACTTTTGACACCCCCTTTGTTAATATCTAGCGGACTAAAAAATAAGAACATTGGTAGGAACCTCCATCTCCACCCTGTCCTAATGACATGGGGATACTTCCCAGAATCAAATAATTCAGAATTCAAGGGCAAAGTCTATGAGGGAGGTATAATCACATCAGTCCATAAGGTGCCATCAACAAACTCCAAATTAGATTCAAGAGCCATAATTGAAACCCCTTTGCTAGGACCAGCATCCTTTGCTGCATTGTGTCCTTGGGAGTCAGGACTAGACTTCAAAAAAAGAATGCAGAATTACCCTAGAACTGCACATTTCATCACAATAATAAGAGACATGGCATGTGGACAGGTGACATCAGAAGGAAGGATTAGCTACAAGTTGAATGAAATTGACAGAGAGAACATGAAGGCTGGCTTGCAACAAGCACTGAGGATTCTTATAGCCGCAGGAGCAGTTGAGGTAGGCACACACAGAAGTGATGGCCAGAGACTCTGGTGTAGTGGCATTAGTGAAAATAAGGTGCAAGAGTTCTTGGACAGTGTTTGTCCAATGGATGGGCTACTCTCACCTGGTGAGAATTGGAACATATATACTTCTGCACATCAAATGGGGAGCTGCAGAATGGGGGTGAATGAAAAAGAAGGAGCAGTTGATGAAAATGGAGAGACATGGGAGGCTGAAGGGTTGTTTGTTTGTGATGCTAGTGTGCTTCCAACTGCAGTTGGAGTCAATCCCATGATCACAATCCAATCCACTGCATACTGTATCTCCAATAGAATAGTACACTACCTTGGAAGAGCTCAAATCTCATAAGTTCCTTGAATTTTCTTCTTCACTGGAAGCATGTCATTCCAGTTTCATCATCAAATTAGGTGTTTGCCTATAAAAATAAATATCAAATGGACTCATAGACAAATTTTACCCTGTAAAAGAATTATGTAATTGTCATTTTTTGTGTATAATAATAAAATAAAAGAATGTGACATTGTAAATTTATTTTTATTTAAAAAAAACTCAATTTAGCTTTTGAATAGGCAAAAAATACAAAATTAATTTCTTTATATTATATTTTAAGAACAATCCACATTAGTTTAAAGTAACTGAATCTTTAAAATTATATTTTTAATAAAAATTATCTTACAAATTTATTAATATAACCTAATTATCAAACTTTTTAATATATTCAGAGATTTTAAGTAAAAATATTTAATTCCTTCAAAAGAACAACTAAATTAATAATATCAATTATATTAAAATAGAAAATTAGTAATTTTACCCTATAAGAATATTAAAAAAAGTTAAACGAATAATTTATTTAAATATGAATAATGAATGGAATGGCAACCAAATACTTTGAATGTTGTTGTTAATACCAAATTTATTTATGGCATGAATAGACATTATACCCAATTTATTTATTTTCATAAATATTTGTTAAAATATATGCAATATATAAAATTCTTTGAATTCTACTAAAAAATATACAATTATTTGGTATTTAATGAGATAATGAAATATACCAAACTAAATTATGAGATGAACTTGTGGTTATCCTAGGAATATGATTAGTAGTTATTAATTGTTATCTCTTTTGACAAATAAGTTATTGATTTATTTCCAATTCTTATTTATTTTCAAATAGTGTTTATATAAAGAATTAATTTTAGTTTTTATAAATTTATTTTTTTTAATAGTTCTCATCACCACTAAATTGTTGCATATATATGACTTATTTTGAGGGAGACATTTTTGTATAATTAAAATTAGAAATCAACCTCAATAGTTATATTGATGTACCACTAGTATAAAAAGGCTTTTTATGTCACTCAATTCTCATCGCATCCAAAAATATTCGACATAAATAAAATGCAGTAACAATTTTGTAAATAAGAGGTGGAATTTTTACGCGCACACTACTGTACGCGACGTAAAAGTCTTCTTTTATGTCGCACCTGGGTTGGTGCGACGTAAAAGAAGGCTTTTACATCACATACAATAGTGTGCGACGTAAAGAGTGGATCAATTTTTACGTCGCACGCTACTGTATGCGACGTAAAAATCTGAAGTATATGGATTTATTGAATCTCAATCCATCAAAAAATTTGGAAATACAAAGGTTGGAATCCAACAATATATGCAAACATGGATGAGTGACTCACAAAGACATATATATTTGGCTTCATACATTGAAGGGTTAGTATTTTAATTTGTATTTTTGTTATCATGTTAATTTGTATTATAATTTGTATTTTTATAACTAATTTTTATGTCATATAATGTAGGTCTCATTGGCAATTAATTGTAATCATGTCCCGGGATTGCACTGTAATGTGGTTTTGTTCATTGTACCGGATATTGAGTCAAGAAATGAAAAGCTTGTTACAAGGGTAATTTTATCTTTTATTCATTAATTATGTTTTTAAAGTGTACATACATAAATAATATATGACTTTTTTTCAATCAAGATCGTGTATGGAACTATAATGTTCTAAGTGAAAGACTCATAACAAAGAGTTTGCAGTTCATTTATCCTAAGGTTAGAAGCTTATTTATATAAGTGAACACCATAATTATAGTTTGTATTTAATTTTGAAAATAACATTATGTTTTATTCATCATTTCAGTGTAATAAGCAAATAGACTCATTTGAATGTGGTTACTATGTCATGTACGGGATGATAGCCATAATTTGTGCGGGTATAACTGATTCTTTGACAGAGGTAATTGCTTTCAACATTAGTTAAGTTTATTTAACTTTATGCGTATTGCATGTTTACAAGAGTCAAATTAATATTTTAGGTATTTCATTCAGTAATTCTAGTACTTAGTTTGTAGGTTATTGTTAGTATTATATTGTGTGTATTATGTAGTTTAGGTAATTTAGTTTGTACTAACTTTTAGTTTGTAATAGATTTTAGTTTGTAGGTTATTGTTTGTATTATATTGTTTTATTATGTAGTTTAGGTAGTTTTTGTACCTATCATGGTGTATTAATTTAACTTTTGTAGTTTGAATTATATATAATATTGTATTTATTATTTACTAGCTAAAAAAACTTGAACCTTTAGACTGTCTAGTTATAATATATGTTTGCAAATTTTGGTTGTAAGACAAAATAAACTCAATATTAAAAAAAAAGCGCAAATTTACATCGTATATATTGTCCAATTTTTTAAATTTACAAAACTTTTTACGTCGATTTAGTGGTATATGCAACGTAAATTAACGTCAGGTCTCAATAACTGACGTAAATTTATGTCTGAGGCGAAGGGACTGACACAAATTTACGTCTCCCATTTTAACGTCAATCTTATATACAACATAAAAAGTCCAAATTATACGACGTAAAAGGTCCAAAATATTCAACGTAAATAGTGCATACCATCACTATATAAAATAAAAAATTCACATTAAGCATTGTTTTTATGTAAAAGAAATAAAAAGATGATAATTTATAAGTTATTTTCATAATCAATTATTATTCGTTTGTTTATTGAAAAAAATATAGAGTAAAAAGTATTAACATATAAAAATTAGTATTTTTTATTATATATATATATATATATATATATATATATATATATAGATATATAGATATAGTTTATTTATGAATAAAACAATAAATAGTATAAAAAATATTATTTTATAAAATTATTTTCAATCTCATTATTATTTTTATGTTTATAATTATTATATATATAATTATTATTTTAATAAAGTATTATAAAAATAAACATGATTATAAAATTAAATAAATAATTTAAAATTACTTTTAATATAATATTATTTTGTTAATTTAAATTCAAATAATTAAACAAAAAACAAAACAAAATATTTTATAATTATATATCAAAAAATATATTATTAAATCACTAGTACAAAATAGGCTTTTAACATCGGTTCCAGGGGACTTTTAACATCGGTTCTAGAGCCGATGTAGATACAGCCGATGTAGAAAGTCACACTTTCTACATCGGTTCCTTAGAAACCGATGTAGAAAGTGTGACTTTCCACTTTCTACATCGGTTCCTAAGGAACCGATGTAGAAAGTCTAATATTTTTATATATTTTATATATTTTATTTATTTTATTTATTCATAACCCCTCTCCAATTACCCTATCTATTGATCTAGAGGTCTCCTCTCCCTTTTATATTATATTTTTATTATTTATTATATTATTTATATTTTTTAGAAATTTGATTTATTATCAGATTAAGAGAATTGTCACTTGGCGAGATTCGAACCCAGTACCTTAGAGTCGGAGGGTGATACTCCAACCACTAAGCTACTTAGGATTTTACGATAATAACTTATACATAAATTATATTTATATACAAATAAAAATGTATATCCATGTAAATATATAAATATAAAATATATAAATACAAATACAAATATATTTATATATTTATATGTTGGATGTGAGGACGCACTTGAGGATGAAATTGTGTGTCGAGTGAATTTTCAAAATTTGATGTCAAATTTGTGAGCGAATATCTTTATATGAATTATAACTTAATGATAAAATATAATCTTTATAATTTATTTATATAATGATATAAAATAATTTTTTTCTTTATTTTATATCATTATATAAATTAATTATCACTACTAGAAAAACACTAAATAGTAGCTAGAAAATTCGGTCACTAAATGTGCAAAATCGGTTACTAATTAAAATAGTGGCCGAAATAGTGACCAACTCGAATCGGTCACTATTTCCTTGGTCATCGATTTTAGTGACCGATTCGATCGACTAGAATCGAGTGACCGAATCGGTGACCAAGCTGGAATCGGTCACTATTTCCTTGGTCACTGATATTAGTGACCGATTCGATGATCAGATATATGAGGGGATAATATTGATATATTAATATATGAGGGGATAATATTGATATATTGATATATTTGTATATATATATATATATATATTTATATATATTTATATATTGATATATTTATATATTAATATATTTATATATTTATATATTTATATATTTATATTTTTATATGTGCAGGGGCGTTTCGCTCGAGCGATAGGATTGTCGCTCAGCGAAACACAACCGAAGAATGCCAATTTTGTGCGAGGGGCGTTTCGCTCGAGCGAGAAGACTGTCGCTCAAGCGAAAGACATTTTAGATAGCGGTTACACGAGGAACCGCTTTGAAAGTGATCCTAGCAAAGATCTCATTGATTTGATGAAGTCAAAGATAAAGTCAAAGGTCAACTCTGCAGCGAGTCAAACAAGTCACTCGGAAGAATGGAGCTGAAGACTTAGTGTGTCTTAACGAAAGCTTAGGTAAAACCACTTTACCTTTTCCACTGCATAAAGCTTCTTCACTCAATTTGCAAAATGCCTCAAAAATAGTTTTAAACAAATCAAACAAAAGCATTTTGACAAATAACTTTCTTAATAATGTTTTTAAGCGATATAGTTTTAAAAGAAACGATTAAAATCACTTAGAATGTTTAAAGAAGTGTTTTTACGGTATTTTAATCGATACAAACTTCTTTTAATCGATTAAAACCCTTTAGAAATCATTATGACCGATTAGATTTGATATATAAGCGATCAGAACTTATTTCAATCGATTAAAACACGTTTTAATCGATTAAAATCATTTAAAGGATCAGAATGATCGATCAGAATGCGATTATGACCGATCAAGTGGTTATGATCGATCAGAATTGAATTATGACCGATCAGATCTATTTCAATCGATTAAAACGTATTTCAATCGATTAAAATAACTTAGAAAATCTTTGTACTGAGTTTCAATCGATTAAAGCGAGTTTCAACCGATTAAAATG